AGTTGGCTACAAGGGTGACGACGTCGAAGACGAAAAATCTGAACTGGAACGAAGAACATGCCGGTCCCGATATAAGCGTTGATCTTGACTCCCATTGGACCGTGACGATCCATCTAGCAGGACTTGCATAGGCCACCACCATCGGAGCTAAATCCGGCATAAATCTAGGTAGAGGATCCTAAGCTAGATTCCTTGGAACGATGGCAATAGGGGCACAAGAGTTGCCTAGGTTCAGGCTCTCCGAGGAGATAAAACCCTACTTCATGTTTGTGCTTTTATTTCATTGGAGTGTGTACAAAGTACATGTAAACTACTAAGAGATTTACGATTGTTTCTACGAGCTTGCCCCCAGTTTTATATATGATATCCGAATGATGGTGGTGGTGGTGGGGGGGGGGTCCTAGGGTACAAGAGCGTAGTCGGCTACGTATGAGGAGGTAGATTCCTCCACGAATCCAGCATCTTGTTGTGTACGCCAAGTTTTTTGGATCTTCCTTGTATACGTCATGGGTTGCCCGATGCGGCCCATGTGGAACTAACGAGGGGTCCTCAGCCCGGCCCACCAGGTCGAAAAGTCGATGTGGTGAGAGGCCTCATAGCCGGGCATCGTCAAGCGACGCTCGGTTCAGCTGCAGGGGAATCGACATGGTCACATGTAGTAAATTTGTGGAAGACATGGCCACCGAAGAGCATGGATGGACTGGATCTGGAGTTGCGCGTCGGCGACCACTTCTCGGCATCGGACTTCTTGCCTATCACGGTGGCCGGAGGTGTGGTGGTGTGCGGCACCGATGGATGTGTAGGAAAGAAGGAGGATTGTACGGGTAGGGAGAGGCCAGTCAGCCGGAGTGGACGCACAGAAGGGTGGGTAAATCCGTGTGGTTGGAGTTTGACATGACGGACATCAGACTCTTCCAAACCTCCCTCCATGTTAGTGCCGATTTGCAAGATTTTAAACGTTCGAACCTGTCAAAACAAATCAGGTGACCGCTCTGGAGTTTTGACCCTGTCCTTGGTCCTGTGCAAGACCAAGATGCCACCAGAACCGGAGGCGACGGACAGGGAGAGCACAGTGGCATGTGAACCAAGCCGACCCGACCTGACGGCGCGCGTCAGGTCAGAAATAAAAACCGGGTGCCAGCCAGCCAGCACCGCCGCTATCCTCCCCCAACCCCAACGCCACAACCTGCCACTGGACTACTCATCACCGGCACCAACCCGACGCCAAATCCAGCTCACACGGGAAGAATCCAACCGTTCATGAGACCACGAATACACTACAGAAAGATTTTTAGAACCCGTAGCTTGTAGGCTGACAGGTACTGCCATGAGATATGTTCGTGTCTGCTAAGCAAAATAAATAATAATAATAATAATAATAATAATAATAATAATAATAATAATATTAGTTCTCCTGTGTTTATTTTTTGACAAGGAAAAAACAAATACGAGGCGATCGAAAGAGTACGCGGAGAGGTTACACAAACGGCGACGGTGTCCCTGTCGTGTACGTCAAATAGACGTGTGAATGCTTTCATTCTCTCGCGGCTCTTCTTGCATGTTCTTCATTTTGCCTTTTTGACTTGATGATTGGAGTTTTCCACGGTGTGGTACGTGTGTTTACTTTGATTGTGTACCGTTGTTCATTCGTCGTATGATAGGACGGTAATTAGGGGCCTCCAACCTGCCAGCACAAAAATGCAGTGAGGTCAAGTGTACCAGACTCTCTCAATTATTCTACTTATTTTGGCACAATTATGTATAAAAGCTAAGGGTGTAATCAAAAAAGTTATGGGGTCTAACACATAGAATCGCCACTGTCTCCAGCACTTAACATGTATCGAATATGGGAATATATAGGAAATACTGGTGAATAGACCCCGCTCACCAAGAGTGAGATGCCTCGCCTGCGTCATGAGTTCTTATAGGCCTCGTGACGCTTTCGGCGACCCCTCCCCCCCCCCCCTCCTCCGTCGGCCTCCTGGTCGCCGATAGGAGGGGGGTCAACGGATTTCGTGCGCGGGTTGTTTAGTTGTTTGTAGCCCGAGTTAGGGCTTCGGTCGTCCGTTTGGCTTCAACAATGGTGATGGCGGCGGCAAATAAGTTCCTCTAGTTCTTCCCTGCTGCAGTGGCCCTCTCATTGTTGTCGTATCTGGGAGTCAATAATTGCGCCGTCTAGTTTCTTTCACTTCTACACAGACGCATTGTGAGTGATGAAGACAAGGTGGTGGCCGTCGGCGTGCGTGCCGGGTGGGGGGGGGGGTGTATCTTTTTTATTGTAGGGAAACAAAAATGCTATAATATGAGCACGTATTAAAGTCACAAACATTACTATTTGATACCGCTACATGATTCAACTAAAACAACGCATTCTTTAATGACAGAAAAACTAAGTACTCCTCATAAAAAAATCTTCAAGACCCACAGCCTCGTCACAATTGTTAGAAGGTCAATTCGACAAGCATCCGTGGAATTTGCTCGTCCACACCCAGAAAATGCCACAGGAATCAGTCTTCACCGATTCGAAGCACCTTTTTAACCTGGTTGCTAGTCCAAGCCTCTCTAGTCAACGTTGCTGGTGGCTCCATTCTTCTTAATTTGACAAGTTCCACAACTGGATGGCTCAATCAAGACCAAGTGCGACATATTTAAGTCCCAATTAGTCGCCGTCACCCTCCCGTGCTCGTCCATCTAGCGTGTGACTTTAGCGCGTATTACGAATTTAGACGGCATAACAAGGCCCGCTCCATCTTAATCAATTTAGACAGAACCACTGTATGCATCTCTCTTGGCCTTTTTACTGATCAATCATCACACACCGCACATGTTGGACACTGCCTTTCGCTCTTCGCCAACTAAAAGCAAGAACATGTACGTACATATATTAAAAATATCATATACTTTCTTCGTTCAAATTACTTGTCGCATAAACGGATGTATCTACAGAGAGAGTACACACATAAATAAAATAATAATAATAAGAAGAGGAGGAGAAAAGAAAGAAAGAAAACACATGGCCGTTTCCCTACCCAACCCCACCACACACGCGTTCTGACGAGCACGCGGAGGGGACGGAGGTACGACCGGTAGACCAGCCAGCCCGCAGCACCAGCATATAACCTCTCGCTCGCCGCCGCGGGTGGACCGGACAGCTCACAGACGCTGTTGCTACTCCCCTCCCCCTTCTTGCCTGCTTCCGCCGCTACCTGCTCCTCCGCTCCGTCCTCCTCCCCTCCGCCGTCGCCGTCGCCGGGACACGCCCAAGGTGCTCTCACGCCGGATTCGGCTCCCCTCCTCCTCCCCTCCCCTCTTTGCCCCCAGCAGCTCGCCTTTTGCTCCGATCTGCGGGCGCTCGCGGGATCTCCCGTGATCTCGTCCCTGGGCGGGCTTGCTTCGCGGGACGGGGGCTGGCTGCGCCCCTCTGGTTGTTCCGAGCTCCGAATCTTGCCGGTTCCCCTTTCTTGCCGGTCGATTTGCTCGTCTGGCTCCGATTCGTCGCGGAATTTGTGGCGTGCTAAGCTTGACTTCTTGCAGCAGTTGGAGAGGGAAAAGAAGAGGGCCTTGACTTCTTGTATTACAGTATTTTCTAGCTTTTCCCCTTCGTTTAGTGTGAAGAAGCAAGCTAGGGTTCTAAGTTCGTTAGTAATCAGTTCTTGCGAGTGGTCAACTGCGAATATGTATCTGGAGGGCAGCGGCTGCCTCTCGTCAGAAATTAGTTCGATTCTGTGTCTTCAATGCTCAGTTTATGGCGTGGCATGATGAATCAGCGGTACAGCTGCATGATGTTTCGTCCGTATATATAGGAATTAACATCCAGTGGAGTGTGAGAGCTAATAATGGTGACTGGTGTGGTTATCCTTTTGATCTGTTTTCTTTGGGGTGCATCCCGAATTAATGTGCTGTGGGAATTAGTTACATGACTGGTTGAACTGTGGGCAAGAGTGAGTGAAGAACTGAGTTGGCGCGCCTGCCAGACCGCCAAGGTTGTTTGCGCGCTATTTCCCTCGCGCAATTTCAGTTTAATTGCATGCAAATTTAGAAGTAGTTATCGTTGAGCTCAAAGCTGTGGACCAGGCAGTAATGTACTCCCACCCTCTCATTTATCATAGCTACCTTGTGGCGGTTGCACTTGTTTACTAGCAAAAGGAAGCACATAATTTGCAAGTGTTCATCTGGTGCGGTGGGCCAGCCACTGATAGCTGGATGAATAATCTAAGACGTTTCCAGCCGCTATGCGTCATTGGGTCTGGATCAATGTGGTATGAAACCTGTAGGATATTGACAAGTATCAAGCATGTTGATGCAGAATGAGCTGTCTTTTGGTCAGCTATAATAGCTAGTAGTGGTTGTTAGTTTCTGCCTTCCATGTGGATTCCAATCCTACCTGGGAAGATAATAATAAGAAATAATAAAGCACAGAGGAATGGCTCCATATTTTAGGTTTTCCTTGGCAGAGAATGTTTGCACATGAACTTGGTGTGCACATGAGATTGTTTTGCTTGATAGAAAATATATGTGTGATTTCTGTAGCTCCCTTGCTGCATGTACCATAGAAGAATATGCTGCACCTGCAAGCAGGTCATGGTTCACTTATGGGCTTGGTTTTTCCATTTGAGATAGATACAGAGGAGAGAGTGAGACAAAGGGAAGCAAAGTAGTGGGATAAAATGAATGGAGAGGGGAAATTTAGCTGTACATCTTAAGCATTCCTTCACTTGTTTCCTAAAAATTCAACTTCTATTTCCCCATTGGGGCCATTACGCTATATACAGAATGAAGTATGAATCGAAACTAAGTCACCTTCCATTTCTCTCCACTAGTCCTGTGGCACGTGCTATTAGTATTTGTCAGATATATGGCCACAAAACTACAGTTACAGTTCCGTTTATGTTCCCAACCGAGTGCTCGCTTGTTTGTTTTTGTATGAGCTATCTATGTTCATACTGCTGGTTCTGATAAAAAGATGCTTGGTTCCAGCCAGGACTTGTTCTCGGAAGAATATGTCTTGCTTTGGATGCTGTGGTGATGAAGATACTCAAAGAGCACCAGACAACAGGAATCAATACCCAGGAAACCATCCAGCAAGTAATAACTTCGAATTCTTTTTTATTACAATTCTATCATCTGCAACCCTATTTCTCGTACAACATTCTACTTCTGTTGCCTGATAATATTCATCTAATGAACTGCAACTGATCTGCAGGGAATGATGCATATCGCACTGCCGATCCAACTCCCAAAGGTCCTCAACCTGTGAAAGTGCAACCCATTGCAGTTCCCACCATTCCTATGGATGAAATTAGGGAGGTTACTAAGGGTTTTGGTGATGAAGCTTTGATTGGTGAGGGTTCCTTTGGCAGAGTATATTTTGGTACTCTAAGAAATGGTAGAGGTGCAGCAATCAAAAAGCTGGATTCCAGTAAGCAGCCAGACCAAGAATTGCTGGCACAGGTTCGTATTTCTCCCTGTTTAGGAATTCTGCATTTACTATGGTCTTCTATCTCACAACTTACATTCACAGGTATCTATGGTATCAAGGCTTAAGCATGAAAATGTTGTGGAGTTGCTTGGTTACTGTCTTGACGGGAACACCCGTGTCCTTGCTTATGAGTTTGCCACTATGGGCTCTCTTCATGATATGCTTCATGGTATGGTTTTGTACAATTTGAAGTCTTGAACATTCGTGTAATGTTTTTTTATTCATCTATTGGTGCAGTTAAGTTCTTATGTTTGATATAAACCTTTACTTTAAATGTTTACAGGAAGGAAAGGTGTTAAAGGGGCTCAGCCAGGTCCGGTCTTATCATGGATACAACGGGTGAAGATAGCTGTTGGTGCAGCGAAAGGCCTAGAGTATCTTCATGAGAAAGCACAGCCTCACGTCATACACAGGGACATCAAGTCCAGCAACGTTCTTCTCTTTGATGATGATGTAGCTAAAATAGCCGACTTCGATTTGTCAAACCAAGCTCCTGACATGGCAGCCCGGCTTCACTCAACTAGGGTTCTGGGAACATTTGGATACCATGCACCTGAGTATGTTCTTGTTTTCTTTCAGTTGCTCATTTGCTCCATGAAGCTTTGGATCATTCAACTTAAGCTTGTTTAAACTTTTTGATCAGGTATGCAATGACTGGTCAACTTAGCTCTAAGAGCGATGTGTACAGTTTTGGAGTTGTTCTTCTGGAGCTATTGACTGGGAGGAAACCTGTCGACCATACATTACCGAGGGGGCAGCAGAGCCTTGTCACATGGGTAATTTTTGTACCCAATACTGCACAAGTGATCTCCTTTGGTGGATGGAATTCTAACAGTTGTTTGTTATACACTGGCAGGCCACCCCAAGACTGAGTGAAGATAAGGTTAGGCAATGTGTTGACTCTAGACTTGGAGGGGACTATCCTCCTAAGGCTGTTGCAAAGGTATCATAAATAGCCTCTCTTGGTTTCGAAACACTGCATGGGTTAAGCAGTCTGTCAGTTATCAGTATTTTATAAAGTATAAAGACGAGGAAAACAAAATACTGATTTTGCTGGAACTTACTAAGCTTGCCATTTTTGTTTTGAATGGATGAGTAATACTCCCTCCGTCCGGAATTACTTGACGCTCAATCGGATGTATCTAGCACTAACGCCAGGAATTACTTGACGCTCAAACGGATGTATCTAGCACTAACGCCTGTTCGAGCATGTCAAAGTAATTCCGCACGGAGGGAGTACTAGCTAAGAATTTAATTTCCAGAAACTGTGTTTGTTGTGGCATAGGTAAAAGTATTTCTATAAAATATGTCCTACTACTGTGATTAACATCATTCTCGGAGCATGCTATATGTCATAACCAAGTCGAGGTATTCTTAGGTGAAGCCACTTGTAACACCATTTCCTCTTCTGCGTGTTGTTTGAAACAGTTTGCAGCCGTCGCGGCATTGTGCGTCCAATATGAAGCCGACTTCCGGCCAAACATGAGCATCGTCGTCAAGGCGCTCCAGCCCCTGCTGAATGCGCGAGCAGCCCACCCCGGGGCTGAGCATGCCGGACGCTAAGCACCACTCCGGCCTTTTGTATGATATAGATAAGGAAAAATGAGCCATCAATTGTTGTTCTTGCGGGGCGCGTGGCAGGCGGTTTTTGTACATTTGTGATTATTCTTCCCAAGTTGTAACCCTCGAGATTCTAGTACCAGAAATATTTGATTCTTTGTATCGGTTGCAAGGTCAGCAAGTATCTAGTACCTAGAACACTTGTCATCGGACAGAGAGAAAAAGGAAGATAATAAACACTGCTGCGTGAGCTTATGCCATCTGCTTCCAAGTCCAGATTCCAGAACAAATTTCTCATTTTGTGTTGGATTTTTCTTTGTATAGCCTTGTTTGGAACAGGAATCTTGCTAAGATTTTACTGGAATCTCAAACAGAAACAGAAGGGAAAAGGAGTCGCATAATGGACTGAAGAAGCAGGAATTAGCCATGTACTTTAATGATCTAAAACATATTACATGTACTTTAGTGATCTAAAATGTCTTATATTAGTTTACAGAGGAAGTGGTAGATGCTGAAGAGTACTAAACCTCTTAAATTAGAGGAATAGTAGATGCTAAAGAGTAGTACTAAACATCATAGGATAAGTACAGGATTACAGTTAACTACCACACATGAACTAGCAGCTGAGCTACACTGCTACGGTCTAGAGGACTAAACCTGGACGTCGACGAATTCTGGTCTCTGAACATCTGACCATGCAGCATGTCCAGGCCTAAACCTAATTTTACAACGCTACTCCAGTACATGACTGGCTTCTTAAAACTACAGAGCGAGCTAGTTGCCCACCTAACATAACTTCTCTACACAAGATGACGCTGTTCTCAGCGCTTTGCGAGGACCATCACGACCAGCATCGACATGCCGGCGACAAACTTGAACGTATCATTCTCCCAGAAGGGCTTCTTGCCTTCGTCGCGGCGAGGGCCGTCGGGCTGCTTCATGGCCATCTGATCCTTGAGCTCCTTGAGTTGCTTGTCCCTCTTCTCCCCCAACTGCAGAGGCAAGAGCCGATGAGTTAGTCTCGGGTTCGGATTCCTCAATGATCCCAACTGATCGGTGAGCACCATGAAAATCTTCTCAAGGTTTCGACATGTGTTTAGTTGCCATTAATTAGTTCAACTTCAACAGTTTGCTGCAAAAACATGGCTATCACAAGCAGTGTATGCGTTGCTTCAGTATATTTTATTGCAGGCATCAACAATCAATGCAGAGGCCAGGAGTGTTCGATTTCTTCCTCAAGTTTTCTAAAGAAAAAGATTGCACACATGCATGATTTAGCTGGTACCAGAGAAGATGAGATCACTGATACTAAAGAATAGGGTTTTTCTAGAACGCATGAATCAGTGATCTGTTTGACTTTGACCTGAACATTTTCGACACATCATTATGGCCAACTGCCGTAGCAGAGATGCTTCATTCACATGGCAATATGGCATTGATTATTTGATTTGTTAATTTAACTGTCAGAAATCTTGTTACGATGCTCAGGGATAATGTGGCGTATATTCAATTCAAGAAGGCCATAAATGGATATGGACAATGATGCTAGCAGAGCAGGCGAAATCGAAGTCATGTTTCCTTTTTCACTTGTTAAAGGAAAATGATACACACGTATATGTACATACCCTCTGAAGTTTTCGGATTTGAGATCGTGATTCTTGAAGGCAGAATTCAAGTTTGAGAACCCTTTTTTTCAGTTCCTGGTCGGTTCTGCGCTGCTTCTCTAGCTGTTCAGCGAAAAAACATATCTCGAGTAAACTTACGGAGCTAAATTGCAGCGAAAACAATGTCTGCGAAACAATTTCAGGCAAAATTTTGTTATTTTGTGGATGCAAGGAAGACAACTTACTTGTGACTCTAGTTCCTTTGTTTTGTTTGTCCAATGAGCAGATAATATCCTAATTTCATCTCTCAGCCTGGCAATCTCTGTATCCTTAGTATTCAAATGCTTGCCAATATTCTCGATATTCCTTGGTGAAACATCAGATAAAACCTTCAGAAGCTCGTTATCTTTACTAGACCCAGCTCTGGAAACTGCACCCATGATATCTGTCTCAATCCTTAAAACTTCATCCTTGAGTTGCCTCTGTGAAAGCTCCCTTGCCTCAAGGTCCTTCTGGAGAAGACCTAGCTGCTCGCCAAGCTTGTTAACTCGAAGCTCGTGCTCTTTCAGCGAGCGATCCTTCTCATTCAGCTCTTTCAGCAATGACAAGCACTGCGCCTGAGCCGACATGGCTGATGCAGCACTGGCTTCTGCTGTAGCTTGAGTTACTGATAGTCGTGATTTAAGATCATCCAAATCATCGAGGTACTGCACATAATTACAAAAGTTATTGACAAAGAGAATTTCAATTTGAAGCAAAATGGAATCATTAGGGTTGGGAAACCAGTATCATAATGAGGTACATCACGCATAAGAAGATTTTTCGATTAGAAGTATGAAGATAATCGTACTACTCTTTTCCAAGTGCTTAGATCACCATCAGTTCAGCAAAAGACAGGCACAATCAGTTCAGGAAAGAAACAAAGGAAAGCAATTTTACAAGCAAATACATCATCACCCACTATGTTGCACTGCATTCAACTCATTTTAAATCATGTATGGAATCTAGAGTAGTATGCTTAGAAGTTAATATCAAACACAAACTTTAGCAATTCATCATGGAATAGAAATGGAGAAATTTAAAAAATGGAAACGCAACCCCAAATGGAGAAAGGAGGGAGTTCCTCACATGTTCGGTGATGCCTCTCGTTGCATTTAGCTGCTCATCTTTGTCCAGTAAGCATTTCTGCAGCTTACTCACTTCCTCCTCCATGCTCCTTGCCTTCGTCTCCGCAACCTGCAACGTTCTCTCCCTAGTCAGGCCAAACTTGTAACTTTGTAAGCCATGCTGAAGGTAGAAATTAGCAAGTAGTAGAAATTTACTAACCTCCCTAGTTTGGGATTCCCTAGTAAACAACTGCTCCTGCGAAGCAAGCTTGTGCCTCACATCCTTTAGCTCAGACGCCAGAGATGCCACGTTTCTTCTAAAGCTCAGCTTCTTCTCCGTAAGATCCTTCAACAGCGGGTCCAAACCCGACGAAGACGATGAGCATGGTCGTACCGCCTTCTCTGAAACTGCCATAGCCAAGCCCCGAACCAAACAGACAAGATTGTTTTAAGCCCAAAGGCCAAAACTCAGATCCTGGGAGCACTGTCCTATTTTCTCCAAGAACAAACAGCGGGGCTCACAGCAAGCATCCCATGTATACAGGAGAAAAATAAGGGCACTGAGAGCTCCTCTTTGACCAAACCAAACACCCTGGCCGCCTCACAAACTTCTCTCTTTCACAGGTCAGTAGCAGCCAACCGGTAGCTTTCACTGCATAAAACAATTGCACAAATTTAGGGGCAGAGAAAGATGGTGATGCTTGCTTCATGCACCGTGTCGCCCTTAAGTTACTGGCCTGAAAGCATCCGTTACTTCAGATCACGGGTACGAGCTCTTCTTGTGGCACTAGACAGTTGGCAAGTAATTGACAGAAGTGTTGCTTTCAGCGGTCGACATAGTTTTGTACAATTAGTAATGGCTGGACAGTAAATGAAGCAAAGTAAGATAATGTTGTTCAAACTACAAGTAACTTGTTCATGGCGGCCAATGAAGGGATCAACTCCTGAAGCATCTCTTAGTCAACTTTGCGGACACTAGGCTGCAAACATAACATGTTCTTGGTGCTTCAAGTCAACTCACGCGTTCCGCGGTACAGGTTAATTTTTACAGAATACACTGACTGCGATATTGTACTGTTCTACGGCCATGTGAGAAACAATCTTTTATATCAAGGTATCAGGCTTTTAAAAGAAATTACTGAAGAGAAGTATTGGGACAAAACAAAAGCATCTTCCAATCGAGATTCCAGCTAGTAGATGAGGACAAAAAGAAGCTGCGCATCTGCGAACTTTCAAACGCGTTCAAATTTTCCAAAGAATCCGACAGAAAACTTTAAGTGCTCAATTAAATACTGCCGACAGAGTAGTACTACTAGTTCCTCGGAAAAATCACTCATTTATTTTTCTAGTAGTAATATTGTACGGGAGTACTTGATTCCGTGGATTGCGAGGTTAAAATTAAAAAAAAAGAACAATTCGAGATTTTTTCCTCTGGGTTCGAAATAATTCAAACCGGGGCAACAATCCAGGCAAAGTAAAAACGACCACAGATTCCAAAGATTTGCAGGACAAACTCAAGAACACCGAGCACCGCGTATTGACCGCTCAAATCCTCCGAGCTCGCAATCTCTCAACCCCCCGGCAAAAAGACCCGTACAAACAAACACAGCGACCACCGCGTCACGGACTGAGCATAAACACAGGGAGGCCAAGGGAATCTCGCACCTTCGTCCCCAGCAGCAGCAGCCGTCGCCGGCCGAATCCCAGCACGGGAAGCTCCAGGAACCACAGACCCTCCTTCCGCTCCCTCCGGCGGAGATCTACGGCCCCATTGCTCGCCTGGGGCAGCAGCAGGGTTTTTGAGATTCTGGGACGGGCTTCCCCCTGATTTTTCGCAGCGTCTGGTGGCGGAGGGGAGGAGATTGATGAGGGGAGGGGAGAGAGAACGGGAAGGAAATGAGGGGATGGTTGGGGAGCTGCCGCTGGGTTTCGAAACTGAAATGCTGGCGTGTGGGCCCCGGCGGCGTCAGCGCGCGGCAAACTCCGAAATTTCCTGGGCTGCTGTGCGGCACGTGGCCGTGCGCCGGGTCGGATCCCCTGTTCCGTGTGCGCGTAGAGTGGGGCTGTGGTGGTGGTGGTGGTGCCGCCGTCGCATTTTTAACGCCGCGACGGTACGGTGAGCTTTTTACCGTCGCATTTTGTACAGCCGTGTTAACGCACAGTCGCGCCTGAGACACTCCCTAAGAACCGGATCACCCCTTTCTCTCGATGCAAGATCAGAAAAGGGCGGGGTTTTGAAGGCATGCTCCCCCCTGTGCGATGTACGAGATGAGAATCCATGATCTTTACCGGCACTACTCCCCTTGGGGAGAGGACTTGAAGCCGGGAGAAGTAATCCGGTACGAGCATCATTGCTTCTTTTCTCGAGAGGACATGCAACGCGACATCCGCTTGTGGCTGCTGGAGAAGAGTAAGGAGAAGCCGGAGCCCCTTGTCGACGACGAAGAGGATGTAAGCATGTGCTCAAGGAAAGAATGGGGAAATGCAAAGAGGGGGTGGGTCAGGTGAAGGGGAGGTGGGTATAATAATCATGTTCGCGTGGTTTGTGAAGGGAGTGAATGGTTTTCAAAGAGTGTTGGAGATATAACTATCAGTTATGACCCGCCCATGAGGGGTCGGGTTAGCCCCAATGACGGGTCACAAAGGAAGCCCAGTAGACATTCAAGGCGATAGTTTGTTAAATCTTATAGAAGGCCCAGAAAACAACCCTAGCGCACGTCAGTTCGATAGAGTTTAGGTATATTATTCGCCACCTACGTCTTGATTGTGTGAAAAGGCGTTTGATTAACAAAGGAACTGGGAGTAGCTACACAACCACTCTTGTTACTTCCTCTGTTCACTATTATAAAAGTTTTAATTTTTTTCCGATCAGATGTATATAAATGAATTTCAATGTGTGTTTGCTCACTCATTTCAGTCTGTATATACTCCATATTAAAATATGCACAACATCTTAGGGCATCTCTAGCCGACACCCTAAATTAGAGGAGTAAACGACCGAGTAGACTTTAGTGGAGTATTTTTACCCCTCTAAATTTTGGTCGTTTCTAGCCGACCCCTTAAATTTAGGGGAGTAAAAATTTGTTTTCGCCGAATTGTTCCAATTATAGTTACATTGCAACTACATATTAGCACGCACATAAAAAATAAACATAATAATTAAGGTTCACACAATTCACGAAACATTACAGATTCATAGTTTACAACACTAGTGCAGAACCGGGCTATAGCAGTGGTTCGTAAGACCCTTTAGTGCCGGTTGGGCTAACACGTGGCACGAGTCAGCACCGGGGACGGGGAGACCATTAGTACCGGTTGATAACACCAACCGGTACTAAAAGGTTTAGGGGTTTTGGTTTTATTATTTTTTCCTTTAATTTTGTGTTTTCCATTTAATTTTTTTCATTAGCTGGTATAGTGTAGCACATGATCATCTATAAACTCATTCTAGCTTAAAGAAGAAATATTCACTTGTACTAGAAGCAAAGATATCATCAAGTTCAACAAGGTCGAGATTATAAGCGTTCATAAGACCACAAAAGCAAATCATTTTGAGATTAAGTTCAGGACGAAGAACACGGACATGAGAGGACAAGTACTAAGAGCAGGAACTAGCTAATCACTCATGCTGCTCTCTTTCTCAGGTAAAATAGCATAATACATGCGTAGCTCTCCTGATTCATCATATTGGGGCATGCAGATGAACCTATCTCCTAATTGTGGGCTGCGCTTCTGATTGCCGCCCTTTAATACTTCTCTGCGATCCTTCACAATTTTGCTCCGGTCTTTCACTATTAAGTATTGCTCGGTTTTAGAAATCATGAATGCACTCATGTGCGATGTAGGATGTCTTGGCCGTAAGCTAACCATTGACATGTGACCTTTAGTCTCGATCCAATAAGGCACAACTATCATCGGCAGTCCCTGTTGAAGAACATCGCATAGTAACATACTTAGCAATGAAGTTTAGCTTAAAAATAATGTATGTAAAACATGCACTAAGGATAAATAGTAAAAATCTTATCATATTTACTAAATAGATGTAACCGTAGTTCAATACGAACATTATTGGTCGCACTTTTTGAGTACTAAGATTTTCAAGTCCAGGAAAATAATTTCTTTTGACAACATCAAGATCCTCAAGCCATGAAACATAATGACTTATCTCCTCGTAGTTCAGTTCAACCCCGGGACAGTGGACGGTCATGTCTACCAAGCGTCAAACATGTTTACTTGAATGGAAATAAGTTGTCAATAGAAATTAGTTGTTAGCTATTTTTGAATAAATAATATCGAAGACATAAATATGGTTGAGAAACTCACATAATGGTAGAACTGGAGGCGTCTGCACATCGACCCGGATGTCGATATTACCCTCAATATCATCTTCCGAAGGAATATCAAAGGTGATAAACATACCAGGCTCAAATGCATAAGCATTGCATAATGCTCTCCAAGTTTTGCATCCAAAATAGGTGTAGGTGTCTGCATTGTACAATTTTGCGTCGAAAGTATAACCATGCTCGGTCCTCAAGTGAACTCTCTTTACCTCCATAGTTTTTATAGGACTGAAACCAATCTTATCCGAGACAAAAATTCTTACATGGTAGGGGATACGCTAATAGAATAGTAAAAAATTAAAATTATAAGTTAAAACAAATGAAGCATAAGTTATGCTTAATTACGGAAAAAGACTTGTCGTTGTGACTTACTGTATCGACTTCGAAGGTCTCATCCAGCTTGATGCTGAAGTGCCTACCATCAACTAGTAAATTTCTGTCGCACAGGCCGTGCTCGTCTTCGCAATATTCGCATATACCGAAATCCTTTTCGTCATCAGACATTTCCTATGTTCATAGTTGAAACATTAATTGGTAAACATTTATTAGTTCTATTAATTCAACTAATTTAACTAAGCATTTACTAAAAATAAACTAGTTTTATTAATTTTCTTACTAAAAATAAACCAGTTCTATAGTAAAATTTTAATTAGATCATCAATCTCATATACCTAAATTTTCTTACTAAAAATAAACTAGTTCTATTAATTCAACTAGTTCAACTAAGCACTTACTATAAATAAAAATAATTAATTTTCTTACTAATTCAACTAAGCACTTATTAATTTTCTTACTAATTCAACTAAGCACTTACTAATTCATCGGACATCAATATATCTAATTCATCTATAACTAAAAGTATAAAAAAACTAACTCATCTAATTAACATTAATATCTAGCTAATTCATTTTTCATCTAACATTTGACATTAATATCTAACATTTCTATCTAATTCATCTAACATTCTTATCTAGATAATTCATCTAATTTGATAATCTAATCAACAATTTGACATGCATTAATCTAATTCATTTAGCTAGCTAAAACTTTGACATTAACAATTTGACATTAATCT